TACGTTTGTCATCGGTAAAGACATGGAAGTCATAGATTGATGCATTGCCTGGGTAACCTGTGGGTAAAATTGTTGGGTCTATATTTATATAGAATCAGAAAATGTTATTTCAATTACGTCACTCGTAAAAAAATCAAATAAATTCTATACCTGTTGAACCATAAATTGCTGATGTTGGGATTGCGCATACATTGGATAATTATTAAGGGAATAAGGACCAGACTGTCCGGATACTTGCGTTGGAGGATATGTCTGTTGTGGAGATAGAATACCATACCGCTAGTAAATATATAATCCTTAGCATATGATATAATAACATAATAATTTATCATAGTCGCAACAAATTTCGAACCTTATGGTCACTCGTAGTATCAAATCCTGGTGGTGGATTATCATCATCATCATCAGTAGTGTTGGCAAACTGAAATAAAATAAATAAACAGACCATTGTTATATAGAACTCATAAATATGTGACTAAAGAAAAAAAATAAAAACACGTGACTTACATCATGATTACCTTTACTTTCATGAGGTTCACTGTACTGTAAATGGCGTAACAAAAGTTAATATACCACACCATTTAGATAAACAACCTTATATACTAATAATTTTACCTCAGTGTATTTTAATAAGATTTTGTCAATATCCGTGCTCGCATATTGAACAAGCTTATTGTTTGAATTAAAAATAATTAATGCGATTTCACAATCGCACAATACACTGAGTTCGTAAGCTTTCTTCATTAGCCCATACTTGCGCTTCAAAAAAGTTACCTATAAACGTAAAGCAGATAACTAGTGAATTAGAATTCAATAAATGATATAATTGGTTAAAATTCACATTAATTTTAGACGCTAATAGCTTACTTGACGATTTCTCTCGTCTTTGATAGGTTTTATCTGAATCTTCTTGCGACCCATATTTTATCTTTTTCGTTTAACTGTGAAGGACGTGAACAAATGACATTTGATTAGTTAATCGCACCATAATTTGCTTTTTAAAAATAACATGGCTAAAATTCGAGATTCACTTCGTTGTTCATTTTAAGTTAAAGTTTTTTAAGGAAAAGCATAAAGAAAAAAGCGAGGGAAAAGTAGTCTAAAAAGGTGCTAATTTAAAGTGATAAAGTTAAATTTGATAAGTCGTTCTTTAAAAATACTTACATTATAAGAACGAAGAATAAATTTAAGTTGAGATAATTTTTTTGTTTATGGACGCGTTTGTGAGAGTTTATTCTTGGTTGTTCTTTTTTTACCACAAGAAGTTTCTATAATAAAACTTTTGATAAGTAAATACTAAGCGGAGCAAACTTGAGGTGTGAAAATTTGGTTAAGAATAGCGCAAAAAGATAAAAATACAAATAAGTCTTTTTGGATGTTGTGTGAATTATGGGTAATACTTGTGTTGTAGGTCTATTTATAAATATTGTACCTCTTACTGTATAAACCATAATCTATAAATATACTGACTGTTTAAGGAAAAAAATTTTTTCTGGGCTTAAAATAATCGTTTTTGTACACCGTCTATTTACAAATGCAGAAGTTTATTCAACAATCGTACGATTAAACGTATTGTATTTAAATCACATGATAATGTGAACAAATTTGTTTCATATTCTGGTTTCAGTTTTGTGTTAGTTAATATTTTTATTAGCGTTACTGTTTAAAGTTAACGTTAAGTATTTTCGCCAATAACAATGTAAGTTTGGTTTTAGATCAGGGCTTAACATTCAAAGTGTTATTCTTGATCTATAATCTACTGCTATTGTTAGCTTTAATATGCAATAAACTATTTAATCAAAAATGATATCTCAAACAATTAAAATTTGCGTAGTAAATAACAGATAAATACTACGTATACGTAGTATTTGTAAAGCATAGATTGCGTATAGTAGACTTATTATAATCGATTATTAGTAATTGTTTAAAAAAATAAATTAATAAAAAAAATTTTTTTTTTTCCTTTGTCAATTACGTTATAAACTTTATTAAGTTGTTAACCGTGGTCATAGCCAAGTTACATGTGATTATACAATCTACTTAATTTTCTAAGCTTGATATCACTTAGCTACTACTAGAGTGTTCAGATATGATCTGTTATACTAGCTATATGGCTAGAACAATTATATCAAAGAAAACTTCATTAATTTCTTTTTTCTCTTTTTATTCTTTTCTTAACTACTTTTTCTACTAATACTACTATCTAATCTTTTTTTTCTATCTTTCTTTTTTTTCTCTGCAAGTAGTATTTTCTTTTTCTTATTTGTTTGGGTTCTCACTTTTAATTCTTTTCTTCTTACTATACTTCTTTTAAGTTTCATTATAATTCTTTCTTGTTTTTTCTATAGGATTATCTTCTTATATCATCAGTTTCATATTATTTCTGCAAAGCTTCTTGGTAAAATAAAAAAGATACTATCTAATCAAATTTTCATCGTATCTTTTTTCTAAGTTAGTACTAGAAGATTATTAGTTATTTTTTTTTTTTCAATTCCAATTAATAGTTTTTTTCTTCTTTAATATTTGCTTTTTTTATTTTTTGAAAAAATAGCTTTTTTAATTTCTAGTAATGAGAGTAATTTAGAGTTTTCTTCATTTTAAACCTTACTAATACCTTCTAACATTACTTCTTTAATCTTTTTTTAGTACTCTTATAAAGTAAAATACTATATTAAGTAGTCAAAGTCTTCAAGTATTCCTTCTTTGTATAAGATACAATAATCTTTTTAGTCTAGTTCTAGTTTATACTTTTTAAGTTTACTAAGTATTGGTAAGTTACTCATTAAGTACTTGATTTGTATAACTAGGCTTTTGCTATTTTTTATTGAAAAGTAATTTATTTCTCTCTGTTTTTTGATTCTTTGTTATAGCTTTTTCTAATTATACTTAGTGTTTTTAGTTAGATTATTCTTTTTTTAAAAAGTCTACTCTGCATCATTATATCTTTTTGTTAGCTTAGTTACAAAGTATTTTATAGAGCTCTTAATTCTATTTGATCTTCATATTATATTATAGCTAAAATTATTATTTTTAACTATATTCAGATTGAAAATTATATATGATTTTCTTTTTTCTTTAGCTAGTCAGTTTGCTTTATTGTTCTATTTGTTGCTAGCATAACTATTGACTTTTTTTAGCTCAAACTTTATACTTTTTTGCTTAATAAGTATTGCTATTTTCTTTAGAATTATCTTATTATCTATTCTAATTTATTTGCTATATTGCTTAATATTGTATACTTTCATTATATTCTCTATTACTTATTTACTATTTGTGAGAACTCTAACTATTATATTATATTATACTAATAATAATATTAATCAAATTCTTAATAACTTTGCTTTAGTTAATATTAGCTAATTAACAACTTTAAAATTTCTTATACTAACTAAGTTACAATCTATTTTATCTATTCTTAACTATTCTATTTTTATAATTCTCTTCTCTTTTTCTTTACCTAAAGACCTATCTGTATAGAATTCTAATTCTTCTCTTTCTTTTAGTCTTATTTCCTATACTTTCTCTGGATGTTCTATAGAATAGGTGAGCAAACTCCGCTAAACTCCGCTGAATATATTAAAAATTAATAATTACTAATCATTAGCAAAGCTTATTTCTTATATTGCCTACCTATTCTATAGAACATCCCTTTCTCTTTTAGTATTGCTACTAATTTTTAGTTTAGAT